TTCCTCTTATACAATAATGAGTGTAAAACCAGTAAAAGGACAAATTGATAGTGAGAATCGGATTTTAGAAAGAAAGTTGGGAGAGTGATTACTTGATTGCTAACAATAATGGAAAGTTGCGGTGCTTAGTGTGCATGAATGTCGTTTCAGTGCCTGAAGAATATAATGTGAGAAGACATTACACAACAGTGCATGAAAAAAGTATGCTACGTACACAAATGAAAGTCGGCGTAGTTTAGTTGCAGATTTGAAGAAAAAGCTTTAACAGCAAACTGGTATATTCAGTAAAATATTACACTCTCAAACGCATTCTTTGCATGCACCTTATGCCGTATTGCTTGAGCTGGCAATGGGAAAAAAACCTTTCAATTTTGCCCCCATCAATGATAGGTAAAAAAATTTGATGAGTGGGTCTGCTTCGAGAGAATGGTGTCACTTGCCCAACAATTCATTGTATTGGGGAGCTTTATGTGAAAAATCAGTCAAGGAAGATCAAGTTTTCCAAACCGTGATCAAAATTATAAATATGATTAGGGGTGGAAATCGATCTCTTTTACCCAGGCAACTTAAGCAGTTTTTAGTGGAAACAGAGGTTGAGTATGGAGACTTGCTAATGTACAACCATGTAAGGTGGCTGAGTACAGGAAAATGCATGGAACGATTTTTTGCCGTAAGAAAGAAAATCCCTGCATTCCTCAACAAATACGTTTCATCTGACACAACTGAACTGGAAGAGAAGTTTAAGGATCTAGAATTCTTAAGACAGTTAGCTTTTATAACAGATCTGACTAATCATCTTAACATGTTAAACTTGAGTCTTTAAGGAAAAAGGCCAGACGGTTTCAAATTTGATCGGAATGATAAACGGATTCCGGAATAACCTGAACGTATTTAAACGTGCTTTGGAAAAGAACAGCCTGACACACTTCCCTAGCTGACTGCAAATAGCAGAAGAATTCAACGGTGAGGAAAATATTGAATTTTCATCCTGCATTTCACAAATTGAACAAGTTATTGATGAATTCAATACGAGATTTGAAGAAATTGAAAGTCTCAAAAGCAGTGTACTACTTAATAATAACCCTCTTGGAGCAACCATTGATGATCAGCCACCCAACTTACAGCTTGAGTTATGTGATCTTCAAGCAGACATGTTCCTTATTACCAGACAAGAAAAGGGGACCTGAATTTTTCAAATTACTGTCAAAGGAGAAATTCCCAAACCTGCAAGATTTTGTACCGAAAATGACGTCAATGTTCGGAAGCACATATACGTGTGAAAGTGCCTTTTCCTCCATGAAATACATAAAAAATAAAAACAGAAGCAACCTTACCGATTCTTCCTTACGTCGTCTTATGAGAGTGTCTACAACTGAACTGGAGGTGGACATTTCTTCATTGGTGGATGAAGCCCATCGACCACAGACCTCACACTAATTGGATACATCTTTTTTGTTCCTTTTGCAATGTTTGTCTGTGTGTGCAATGTCTTGATTATTGAAAAGTGTTATCAATAAATTTTCCATTTATAAAAAAGTGTAGTTGTTGAGCAATAAAGGAAATAATACTCTTTTTTGTTTTAATTACTTTTATACCCCAATTTATTTTGCTATTACTTGTAACAAAATTATTAAATGGCCCGAGACAACATCAAAAGTTTTAGTTTTGGCCCTTGAGGCATTGCAAGTTGGACACCCCTGACCTAGAATATCACAATAAACTTATTAGTGAACAGAGTGGTTTCCGTCAAAATAGGTGTACAGCTGACAACTTGATTGACTTAGAGTCAGAAATTCATGAAGCTTTTGCAAACAAACGAATGTATCGCAGTATTTATAGATATAACAAAAGCATATGGTACTTCATGGCGACACAACATTATAGGAAAACTCCACCAGTGGAACCTACAAGGATGTATTTTACACTTTATTAGTAACTTCTTTAAAATTAGAAACTTTCAAGTCAGAATTGATAATATCTTATCTTCAAAAAAAAATATAACCAAACGGCATCCCACAACGCTCTACAATAAGCACGACCCTTTTTTTAATTACTATATAATATATGATATTCTAGATCACTGCTTCCCACTAATGAAAGGAAGACCTTATGCTGATAATCTGGTTATATTTGTTAAAGGGAAAAATATCACATATATCCAAAAACATATTCAACTTCACTAGATAGCTTAGGTGGCTGGTCAGAATCCATAAGATTGAAGTTTTCTACATCTAAAACAAAATGTATGTTTTTTCGAAAAAACATTTGCAAATAAATCCATCATCATACCAGACAAGTGCCTCAAAGGGCAATTGTTAGAATTTAAAAATAGCATTCGCTTCCTAGCTATGACTTTTGATAAAAAACTAACTTGGGCAGTCCATATCGTAAACTTAAAGAAAATATATCAAAACCGAATAAATTTATTAAGAACCATCGCCGTTCATAATTGGTGAGCTGACTTCTGTAGCCTCAGAATAGAACACAACAGGCATACAACCACTATAAATGAAACAGAAATGAAACCAATACTTTAGTTAGACAAATAAAAATGGAACACTGGCAGAGCTACTTAAAATAGATGGAACCCGAATTTCACGAAACAAAAAAAAAATAAATATGGAGAATGATCAGAGGCCAAAGAAAAGAGATGAACGGACTAATAAAAACGAAACAAATTCAGAAAGAAACATGGTTCAATCCCTATTTGCTAAATCTTACGATAATGAACCCCCAACACCAGAGGTGGCAAAAAAAACAAAGAAATAAATATTGAGGTGGGAAGAAGTAAAGGAAGCATTAGGGAAATTAAAGAATAAAAAATCACCACGAGAGGACAGAATACCGAATGAACATCTAGAGTACGGAGTACCAGATCTTACCAAACAACTATTAAAACTAATCCAAAAAATAATAGAAAAAAAAACAGAATTCCTCAAGAATGCAGATCAAGCATCCTAATACCTCTCGTCAAAAAGGGGAGACAAATCGGACCCGAAAAATTACAGAGGAATTAATTTGTTAAACACAACACTAAAATTAACAACCAAAGTAATAATAAATAAATTGAATAAGATTATAACACTACCAGAAGACAACGTTTTAGGTCGGAAAGATCATGTACTGAAACTCATGTACTGAACATAGACATAACGAACATCTTAAGGATAGCCGATGGAATAAAGAAATCGGGAATTGGTGGTCATATGAAGCCAAAAGACCACGAGGAAGACCGCAAATGGCGCTGGAGCGACGATATTAAAAGAACTGCAGGGTCAATGTGGAAACGTCTTACAAACAACAGAGATGAATGGCGAGAATTAGGAGAGGTGTATATTAAGCAATCCGAATAGAGAGAAGGGCTTAAAAAATCCATTCGCAAGAGAGATAGCTCTAGAAATGATCAAAACGATAGAAAATATCTACCAAAACAGCACAATAAAAGTAAAAGTAGAAGAACTAACTGATCCTTTTGAAACTGGCAATAGGATAAGACAGGGAGATTCCCTGAGTCCTTTATTGTTCAAGCTAATTATGGATGAAATAATAAAAAAGTGAAAACTAAAAAAGCATACCAAATGGGAGAAATCTGATATGCAGACGACGCAATACTAGTCTCTCAAAGTGAAGATGATTTACAACGTATGCTGCACCAATTGAATATAACCGTCAGAAAATTTAACATGTTAATTTAAAAAAAAAGACAAAATGCATTGTTATAACAGTAAATTTACTCAGATATAAATTGGAGCTGGAAGGTCAGATAATAGAACAAGTGATGTTTAAATATCTAGGCATCACATTATCTAGCTAAGAAAAGCTCGAAACGGAAGTGGAAGATCAAGCAAATAGAGCAAACAGAGCCGCAGGCTGCCTGAATGAAACAATATGGAGACATAAAATATCTTAAAAGAAATAAAAGGTAGAATTTACAAAACAGTCATCAGACCAATAATGACATAATCGGCCGAAATCCGACCTGACACATACAGGCCAAAAAGAAAGAGGGAGAGAAAGGAGAATGTTAGAAACAGCAGAGATGAAAATACTTTAAAAAATGATGAAAAATTGATAGTAAAACACTATGGGACAGAGCTAGAAGTACAGATATACGACGTAGATGCAAGGTGGAGAACATCAAGGACTGGGTAAGAAATATAAGAGTAGAATGGAACGATCATCTAAGCCGAATGACATAAAATAGAGTAATAAAGACTGCAAGAGACGGTTCCCCTATAGGAAGACCACATAAACTGTAGAACGACAAGTTACTGTAGGTACATTGAAAAACAGACAGTCATATCTACATAAAAAGAAAAAGAGTGTTTTTTAATAGCAATTAGAATTTTATTTGCGTAATAAATGCAATCCTATGTCGCAAAAACACCGACATTAATCATTTAATTTTAATTAAAAATAACGATCTTATCGTTACAAATGAAGAGTATATGATTGATATAGAAAGTATCGGAGAATCGAAAAGTTGTGCTGGAATAACAATACCGCCAGTGGCGTAGAATTTGGAGGGGTCATCCATTCACTTTCTACTCTCGTATGCTTCTGATAGTAGACAAAAACGTGTATTTAACATAATCTAGTAGGGTGTACAGTACCTACACTTCCTGCCAAGTATGATAAAAACATGTCAAATAGTTTTGAAGTATTGGGGACAAATAGTTTTTAAATAAAACACCCTGTAACTCAGTAAGGACCCACATTTTATTTAAGTGAATTGAGTTAAACCTTAATATTTTGAGCCCAGAAATCTACAGTTAAAATATTTTCAATTATTAATTAAACACCCTGTATATATTAATAGATAGGTAGATAGATATTATATAGATAGATCAATAGATAACTAGATATATAGATAGACGGACAGATAGACAGATGTATCTTGTATTAAGTTGCTTAGTCACAAGGTCTAAATAAACAACACATTTAAATTTCATGTTATAAATTTCTCTCTCCCATATTTGCTCATAGCCAAAACTTCAGAGTTTAGTAACACAAAACTTTTTATTAATATAAATAATTAAAACAATATATATTTCATTTTAATAAAGTTGCTTAACATTTAAGTGTATACCAGTGCTAACATCATGTGAGAATTTTAATGTTCAAGTTAAGGAAGGAGATAAATTTGTGTCTAAAATATTAGTTTTATATTTTAACTTCTCTACTTTATTACATTCTTTAAGTTTTGCTTCAACCAATAGCCTATCCTCGCGTTGTTCTTTAATAGATTCTGAAAAAAAAAACTACATTGTAACGAAACGTATTAAAGTTACTTAATTCCTAAATACATAATAAACAAAATACATTACCGAGCATAAAATTAGGGTCACCCCGTAATTTGAATTTATTTTAGAAATTATTATTCTGTTTTAACTATTTTCGGTTGTAACATAATTAACTAATGGGTTGATAGATTGATGGTTGCACGAAGTTAGTCTTTATCGAGAATGGGACATTGACAGCGCATAGGTACTTGATACAGATTCTGGAAGACCATGTTTTACCGTTTATGATTATTCTTGGAGACGACGCAACATTTATGCATGACAATGCACGGCCCCACACTGCTAGGATAGTTACTGAGTATCTTGACGAGGTTCAAATCACACGATTTATTTGGCCTGCTCGCAGTCTAGATATCAATCCCATAGAACATGTTTGGGATGAGATGAAGAGACGTTTACGGAGTCATGTGCCGGCCCCCAGAAATTTGAGAGAGCTTCGCGACATATTGGTGCAAGAATGGAATAATCTTCCGCAGAATGTGATCCAAAGCATGCCTCGTCGTTTGCAAGCTGTTATCACTGCCAGAGGAGGGAATACTCGCTACTGAAGTTTGTAAAATTTCTTTTTTTCAACAAAAAGCACATCAAATTAAAATTGTCCCTTTTCAATATTTAGTATATCAAAGAAAAATTCTTCATTTCCATTATTTTTAATAAACTTTAAACGACAAAAACGTTGTTTTCGTTAAGCAATCCGTTAGTAAACTATGTTACAACAATTATGTTACAAAAAATAGTTAAAACAGATTAATAATTTCTAAAATAAATTCAAATTACAGGGTGACCCTAATTTTATGCTCGGTAGTGTATAATAACGGATATACTATTTTACAAAAGTTTATGGGTTTAAATATAAAAAATTGAAGAATATACATAATAAATAAATATACAGAATGAGTAAAAAACATTGCAAAATGAATGAATAAAAAACAAGCAAAAAAGTGTCCTTGAGAAAATATAGCCTTAAGTAATTTTGGGGAAATCAAAATATCTATTTCTGATTGGAAACCATTACAGAAATTAAGAAGACGGGTTATAAGATTCATCATCATTATTCTGGCTTTAAAACCCTGTGTCGGTCCTAGCCTCCTCAAGAATTTCCCTCCAGTCATCCCTATCCATCTCTTCCTCCGCCAAGAGCGTATTCCCATATTTCTTATGTCTTCCATCAATGTTATGCTAAACAGTGTCATAAAATTGGAGAACTCGAAAATAGATATGACAAACGCTCCATTTGGACTAATAACAATGGAGATATGATGTAATGCCCTTGTGACAATGCCGCCATTCTTGTATTTCGTCATTGTACTAGTTACCCTCCCTCATTTTCAATGAGACCTCATACGTCACGATCCGTAGAGCCGCTCTGAGCTATGCGACTTTACGACCAATTTGCGTAGCAGTGACGGTCGCAAAAATCTGTCGTGTATTCAATGCTTTTTCCAAAAAGTGCACAACGTCACTAACGAAGTTTTCACTTCAATAACTATGCTAAATAGGCCGGTCGGAAGAAGAAGAGAGAGGCCTAAACTCAGATATCTGGATGATGTGCAGGAAGATTTAAGTAAGAGGATGGAGAAGACAGACACTCGATAGGGAAGAATGAAAGAATGTTTTGACACAAGTCAAGGCTCACGAAGGGTTGTAGTACCAATTGACGATGATCATCATCAAAAAGGACATCTCGTAAAATACATCAAGATAGCACATCTAAGGTGGGCAGAGCATGTAATTCGGATGGAACAAACTGATCCAGCTAGAAAAACGCTCCATGATAGATACATTGGTCAGAGAAGAAGAGAAAGACCCAGAACAAGGTTCCTTGATAACATCCATGAAAACATGAGAAATATGGGAATATGTGCTTGGCAGAGGAAGGCGATGAATAGAGATGACTGGAGATAAATTCTTGAGAAGGTTAGGACCCACACAGGGTTGTAAAGCCAGAATTAATGACGTACAAATTATTAATACATATATCCAATGCAATGAATTCAATACATGGAGGATTTATGTTATGAAGTGACGAAATTGGTTCAATGACATGGGTTTTAATATTTCACCTGAAAAGACAGCTGTGATGTGTCTCACAAGGCACAGATATCAGTTGGTAAATAACTGCTCTTTTAAGTAACTAAACTATCCCTATAGTAAACAAATATAAATATTCAGGTATAATTATAGATAAAAAACTACAATGGACCAGTCACATAAGTATCTCCAACAAATACAATTTATTCATCATGAAACCTGCATACAAGCAGAAAGTCTATCAGACAAGTCAAATATATACATAAATAAACAACACTTTTTTGGTCTGAGTGTGTTAGTGCAAAGATGTTTGGATGTAAACCAAGACCTCTCCGTAGGTTTCATAGATTTTGAGAAGGCCTTCGATAAAGTCAGACACCAAAAGCTGTATGAAATCCTAAGAAGCAAAAACATCGACAGTCGCGACATTAACATCATATCCAGGTTGTACTGGGGACAAACAGCAAAAATCAAAGTTGATAATGAGTTAACCGAAGAAATTTGAAATTCGTCGAGGTGTGCGTCAGGGCTGTGTGCTTTCTCCACTATTATTCAATATATATATATATATATATATATATATATATATATATATATATATATATATATATATTATATATATATATATATATATATATATATAATATATATATATATATATATATATATATATATATATATAATAAAACAATATGTCAGGAAGCGCTACTAGAGCAAAACATTGGTATGAACATTAAGGAGAGTTAATTAACAATATACGATACGCTGATGACACGCTAATAGTAACAGATAACCTAGAAAATTTACAGTTTTTGATGGAAAACATAAACACTCATACCAATAAGTATGGTCTAAAACTGAACATCAAAAAGACTAAATTTATGATTGTAACAAAGAAGCTATACACAAATGTGAATTTAACCATAAATAATCAGCCAGTTGAAAGAGTTACACCCTACAAATATTTAGGGGTTTGCTTCACTGACACTAATGACCAGACAAGAGAAATCAAGAGGCGAATAGAGATAGCGAGACAATCGTTTGTCAAAATGAAAAAGTTCCTATGCAGCCGGGACATAAATATAAACTTAAGAACAATAATGTTAAGGTGCTATGTTTTCTCCGTTCTGCTGTACGGCATGGAAGCCTGGACACTGAAAAAGATAAACATCAAAAACATTGAGGCATTCAAGATTTGGTGTTACAAGAGAATGTGGAAAATACCATGGACAGAAAGAGAAAAATACATCAAGATGTTCTGCTGAAGATGGGGAAGGAATGCAAAGTCATAAAAACCATACAAACGAAAAAACTGGAATATCTGGGCCACATAATGAGAGAAGAAAAGTACTCTCTGCTTAGACTTATAATCCAAGGAAAAATCTCGGGAAAGAGAAATGTGGGACGTAGGAGGATTTCCTGGTTGCAAAATTTAAGGGAGTGGTATGTATGCAGTTCAATACAGTTGTTCAGAGCTGCAGCCAACAAAGTAAAGATTGCTGTGATGGTAGCCAACCTCCGATAGGAGACGGTACGGCAAGAAGAAGAAAAACTTTCAGAAAATTACATAAAATACACTACAAGTATTTAAAATTCAATAAATTCACTTAAGCTGTAAAACGAGCAAAGCTGCTCAGTTGCAAATTCATATTGGCACCCAATATGTTACTGAGCTTGATAAAACATTTCACACAATATAGACAGCAGCATGTGTACCACATTCAGAAGAATTCTGATTTTATCATGGACAGAACATGTCACGAACAAAGAGGTTCTGAGAATAATGAATAAAAAACTGGAAATTTTAAATACAATTAAAACAAGAAAATTAGAATATCTCGGACATATTACATGTGGAGACAAATACATCTTGCTCCAACTGATTATGCAGGGAAAGATCCAAGGAAAAAGAAGCATAGGGAGGCATAGAATGTCATGGCTGTGCAACCTGAGAGAGTGGTACGGATCTACATCAAATGAACTTTTCAGAGCAGCTGTCTCAAAAGTCTGAATAGCTATGATGATTGCCGACCTCAGCCGCGGAGATAGCACTTGAAGAAGAATAGGATGTGTGCCACTGCCAAATGTGAGAATGGGTGATGTATATTATACTTTTGTCAGGTATCATACTGTTACGATAAATTCTGAGCCAAAACCGTAAATATGTTTATTACTAATATTCTTATTCATTCACGTATGTTCTAGGTCATACACTTACTACCGATTCGAACTCTCTAGAAGGGATCGAATAAAAACTCCAGGTAACAAGAATGCAGCCGGCGGCCTGACCCTAGGAAAAAAACATGTTTATATTCTATACCAGACGAGAAGGCGATCGACTTTTCTAGTCTAACGGTGTTTGGTATTTAACGGGACCTTTTTGGAGAAAACAGACAGTCAGAAATGAAGATCGCGGCGCGTTTTAAAATGTAACGATCGTAATAATAAATTATTATTGTAAGATAAATTATTATAAATAAACTTTAAATAAATTAAGTTTGTGTAAGTTAATTACTATTTAACTGGGAATAAACCACAATTAAAGATAAAATACGTTTATTGACGTTTCAATTTCCACTTCGGAAATCGTTCTCCGTTTTATCTTTAATTGTGGCTTATTCCCAGTTAAATAGTAATTAATTTAAAATGCCACAAGAAAATAGCTTCAGAACAATATTAAGTTTGTAAGTGTTATAAATATTGAATCTTTAGTAAATTAAAATAAGAACAATAAATTAGAATTAATAAAAACATTATAAACACTACATCACAATTTTTGTTTAGTGTATGCTCATTTTCTGTAACATATATTATCAGTTTAAGGCAAGGTTAGTATATTTGCCTTTATAAAGAGTGGTTTGCAAGATTCTGCTTATGGCACATTAAACATGGCTCATATTACCTTCTTTTGAGCTATGAATGCTCTATAAAGTATGCAGAAGAACTAGAGAAAATTAACCAATATTGAATGGTTGACTGCCCTAAACCAAAGTATAACAGTTGCAGAACATCAAATGATACAGTTTCTCTTAGATTCCTTATGATGTAACAGAGTGTACTTATGTCTGAACTCACTTTGTTTACACATTGTTCCTAAGTTACTTTTGGGTCCAAGATTACCCCCAATTACATTACCTCAATGTTCTGTTTGAGAGCAATTAGATAAATAGTATTTCACACAGTCATATAGTTTACTGCATATCCCCTTGCTTTCCAACTTCATCAGCAGGAGTTTATGATCTACTAAGTTAGAAGCAAAACTGAGATTATAAAATAAGAAGTATTTACTTCAATAGAGCCAAGATGCTTGTTTCTCAAACAAATTAACAGCTTGAGCAGCGGATTTGCGTTTCCTAAACCCATGTTGAAACTTACATGATAATTTGTAGTATTCTAGATAATAGACTAATTGTGTGCAATATGCTGTTTCAAATATGTTTGCAACATGACTAGGTATAGAAATGAGTGGATAATTAGTAGTATCAGTTGCTGAAACTTTATTCTTAACAGGAAATCTTTTAGATTCCTTTATGTTGGGGAATAACCCTGTTGTAAAGGATTCATTAATTAAGTATGATAAAGTATCAGCAAAATATAACCAGCTTCAGTCCTTATTCCTTAACTCAGTCCTTAACTCTCCCAGTAATCTCATCCAGACCTTCAGCATATTTTGATGTAGTTGTTTTCTGGATAATTGAAACTATTTCTAGACATGGAGTATGGTAAAAAGCGACGAAGAACTGTTAAGCCACTTTGAAAGATGAATACTTAGACACATATACAGAGAAGTACAAGAAAGCGGGAATTTTGCGCAGGCGCTACAATTTTGAGTTGTATCAATGCTATGAAAAATGCAACATCGTCCAGTCTATTAAAATTAATAGACTAAGGTGGCTAGGATACCTTGAAAGAATGGACACTGGAGACCCCCCAAAGACAGATATTCTATCAAGAGCCAGTAGGAACCAGGAAGAGAGGCAGGCCAAGATCTAGATTCAAAACTCAAGTCGAAGATGACTTGAGGAATCTAGGGGTCAGAAATTGGAAAGCCAGGGCGAAAGATAGGGGGAATGAAGACTAATTCTTAAACAGGCCAAGACCCACCCAGGGTTGTAGAGCCAATGATGATGATGATGAAACTATTTCTTTAGAAATTGTTGGGCAAAGAATCAAGCTTCTGTGAAATTTATCAATGTTCATGTTATAATTTGGAATGATATTATTGCTTCAACAAAGATATAGAAAGGAAATTAATCTTCTACCCTTCTCAAAACAGAACTGGGAAGTGGATCAACAAATTTCCTTAATGTTCTACAAAAGTGCTTTATTCACTTGATTTTACATTATGGGTGTACTCTCTACAGTTTGGTCTCTAACACAAACCAATATAGTTCAACAGATAAACCGGTATTTGATTTTATGGTTATGTTCAGTGCATTAAACTAATAATTACCTGATTAAAGAAAATAGACATGAAAACGTTTCAAATAATTTCTGATTTGTGGAAAATAGATTTTGTCTAATACCATGATCTTACACACACAAACACCATAACTATTTCTTAGAACTTTACTTACTGTTATATGGAGTATACCTATTTGAGATCCAACTTTCTAGATTGTAACCTATGACTCCTACAAGAGCAGCAACAGGAAGAGTTACATAAGGTGCATATGTTCTAAGTGTTGTATAAATAATAGGCCACATCTTGAAAACTGTAAAAAGTCAATCAAATATAAATGTTTGTATTTGTATTATTTATTTTGAAGCTTGTTTGACTTGACATGAGTTTAACCTTCTGACTCAATGACGTACAGTAAAAATTGTATACGTCATTTATACGCATATAAACGTCATCGTGATTTTATATTACAACCAGAGATATACTCCATTCGCTCAGCTCGGGCACATTTTGACAGATTCATTGTCGGAAACCTACGACCTACAACACAACAATTCCTACTTCTCAGTATTAATAGCTCAAGTATACTACTATTGCAGACTTCTTTCTTTGAAAAAAAGAAGAAATATTCTAAACATTGGAAGTATATACTAAACCCATCACATTTTGGGTAGTATATATTTTAAAAATATATTTTAGTTGAAATAATTTAACATAACTATTTAATATATGGTGCATATAAATAAATATTGATTGTCGGTAATTCGTAAAGTTCTATTTTATTTACTATTTAGTTTGTCTACTATTAATATTGGCTAAGAGTACGTGTGCTTGGTTGTACAGTAATTTCCAGCCACTTTTACTCTGTCAAAGGTAACTAACTAACTAAACGCAAAAAAATAATTACTAAATTCACTAGACAGTTCGGACTTGGAATAGCGAACCGACTTTATGTTTGATAACTACAACAAAAAAGATATGCTCACTTGCCGTTCTAATTTTAATTGACTTTCCGCATGACGTCATAGCGAGACAAATGCAGGGAACTTGTGTGTATCATATTTTAACGATGCATCATATGGCAACGTTGTTCCATTACTGTAATGCTGTAATGAACAACTTTGAAACTTACTGTTAACGGTAAGTATACCTCGATGTCATATCTTACACTAAGAAGTCATTACTAGTTACTTTCTGAGAAAACGTGGTTTGAAAATTAATAAGTAATTTATAAAATGAATTAAAGAAATACATGAATCTACGATTTGATTGTGTGTATTACAAAATAAATATTGCTAAAAAACATAAATTAAATATAAAAGGCCGGTAAAATGTAAAGACATTTTATATTTAGTAATTCGTAAAAGAAGTAATTTTACATCTTCGCTAACATTTACATATTTTGCAGCTTCTATTAAGTTTTTCAAATAATTTTTTGTTATTTTTAATGTGCCATTATAACTACGGAATAATATATCTTTATTTATAACATTTATATTATTTAAATGTATATATTATTTATAACTTGTATTTATATTATAAATAAATTTAAATATATTAACATGAACACTTATGAGCATTTAACTTACCATCATTAAAGATGTCTCGGGCTTACGTCACAGGAACATGCGCGTTGACTTGATCTGACTTGTACACAGAGCCGCATTGGACGATTTTCACATTTGGTCCCAGTGAAGATAGCCTCAAATTAGCTGTCAATTAAGTTTCACAGAACGAAATTTTGCCTTGGCAGTGTTGCCATGTTCTTATAATGTATATGTTATATGCTTCAAATAGAGAGATAAAGCTTTTAAAATGTACATTTTTATTATATTATTTAATGGGTTCTGCAATTTTATACATTACATAAAATATTAATGAACTAATATTTGTTTTGTTTGATATTAGTTGTAATTAATTATTAGAAATTTTTTTTGGCAATTGCCCTTTGATAGAAGGGTCAGAATCCTCAAACCACCAGTTGCCAGATTAGAACAGATGCTTTTTTAACTTTATTATGTATACTGACATTTTACTATTTACTGTTAAAAACTGTTTTAAAACTATTTACTTTTTCTTTTTTTTTGATAATCGTTATAAGTGTAAGTATGTAAGTATTAGTTTTTAAATATCTTATTGCTTTTGAGTGCGTATGTTTCATTTGTAATGTAAATTTCAACACTGCCAAACACCAATATTTCATTCTGTCAAACGCATTTGAGGCTATCTTCACTGGAACCAAGTGTGAAAAACGTCTACTGCATTTTTAATGACGGATTCTGTATTTTAATGCATATCTTTTCTATAATTCTTCTTTGAAAATTTCGTGTTTTGACATCAATGTTCAAATATTTCGTCCATTTTGATTGTGCTGTTATTAATGTCATGTCACTTTTCCACCAATGTCACCATATTTAAAAAAAAATATTGTTTCTTGCAAAATTTTGTAAAAATATAAATATAATATAATAGGTTGTGTTTACCAAAAGTACAAGCTGAATATACCCGCAAATGTCAAAAATATTTAGTTTTGGCAGTGTTGGGATGTTTTTATAATGCGTATGTTATATGAATCAAATATAAAGAGAGAATGCTTTTAACATGTACATTTTGATTATACTATTTGATTGGTATTTGATTATACCGAAAGTACAGGCTGATTATAGCCGCAAATGTCAAACATGGAACAAATAATTTTGGTATAGCAGTGTTGATATGTCAACATATGTCAGTGATTCAAATAATGTCAAACATGGAAGTAACTAGAAGGATAGGAAATGAGGCGAAAATAATATTAACTATTAAAAGACGAAAACTTGAGTACTTGGGACATGTGATGAGAGGGCAAAAATACGCATTATTATAACTTATTATGCAGGGCAAAATCCGAGGAAAGCGAAATGTGGGAAGACGAAGAATATCCTGGCTTAAGAACTTAAGGGAATGATTTGAATGCAGTAGTGCAGAATTTTTTAGAGCGGCAGTCATCAGAGTCCACATAGCCATGATGATTTCCAACCTTCGATAGAAGATGGAACTTAAAGAAGAAGTGTTGATATGCTTTTATAATGTAGATGCTGTATCCTTCAAACAAAAATTGATAGATGTAGAAACAACGGCGGCTCGTGGCCTAAAAAAGTGGTGAAGATGAGGAAAGCTTGCCGAAGCCAAAAGGAGTTTTGGTACCTATGTCGCGCCCAAATTTCATTAAAAATTTGTTAAAAAAAATTGATAGTTATATAAAAACTAAACTAATAAATACTATACTTTACACTATACTATATAACAATAAATTTCAAAATATTGTCGCTAAATAGGTACCCATGCAACTAGTGGCCAGTGGATGAAGACGGATAATATATTTTTTAAAGAAACTGCACTAGCTATATTTCGTAACTATCACTGGCGACAGGCTGACGCATCGAGCAAAAAGACAAAAGAGGGAATGTAAAGGCAGTGGGGGCAAAAATATTATTAGATAGGCAGTGCCATCTTGAGAGGCCAAATTAAACAAGGAAAGAGAGTCTTTCCTTGTTTAATAAATCAAATTTAGTTGGATTATGTTATTGTTTGTCCCAACTGTCACATGAAAGCTTATTTATATTGAAGTTTTTTAACAATTGTGTCACATTTTAGACTGTTATCGTTAATATTTATTTAAAGTTTCTCGTCTAAGACACATTCTGAAAACTATTTTATAGCTACTGTTAATAAGTTGTGATGTCCTCTCGTAGGAGTCACTATCCGGGTAGCTTTTAGACAGTTAGAGACAGAGTTCAAAACAAAAATAAAACTTTATTGTCTTCCTTAAATTAAATTGACAAAAATCTTATGTACATATTTACAATTTGGTTTAGTCTTCTCAGTACCTGGCCTATTTATTCAAATTAAGTTTGACCTTGTCATATGAAATTAGTCTTATCGGCAAGCGAGTGTGTATTTGAAATTTTACGGGAACGTTGTATCGATTTAATAACAGCGGATGATAGGTACAAAGAAAGGAAAGGAACTCAACACGTCCCTTAAGTGATTCGGGTTAACAGGACACTCCTCGACAGTCTCAACACGACTGCTTCAGAGTACGGGTAGTGAAGAGCTCAACACGCTCTTTGGGTAACGGCGGTATGGGACGGAACAACTTGTGAACTCAACACGTCCACAAGCCGGGGTAGGGAAGAAGAGAACCTTTAGTCAACACCTGTGGATTCTCCTCTATGAGGAAATGTTGCGGTTTATATAGCGGAGCTTGGTAATTAGTTTTGCCCTTTCTACTGTCGATACACTCCTACTTCATGGGTTGGTTCGCGCGCACGCTGGTTTAACGGTGATGGCTTGGACTCATCGTTACAAAGTGTCGGAAAATTTAAATTTGGCGCATTCGCATTTCCGGATATGTCCGCCATCAGAGACCACTTTTTTGGTCTCCCTTTCATAACAATCAGATTCCTTCTTTTGTCTTTTTGCTCGATGGGCTGACGTCACGTTGCCATGGCAACCGTGAACGCTTATGCAGATGGATTTATTTCAAAAATAATATTCACCGAATCATACACAGCAAGTGACACAGGTCAGGACTTGACCGTCACGTACCTACTGCACCGCTAATAAAGCTAGCAGTCTCTTTTAATTTTTAGAATTAAAAGAGAATAAATAATAGATTTCAGAATTTAGATATAATAAAGTTGCTTTTATTTTTTTATTTATTTGTCTCAATTTAAAAATTAATGAATGAAAATATTTTCTTTTCTTGTGCGATCGGTACTCACCGGAGGGAACGCAGACGTTCGGATACAATTAGCGTCTCTTAGCAAAGACAATGACAAAGATGAGAATCTATAGAGAAGCATGGGTCCTGAAAGAAACATCCAAAAACAAACTCGACACATTTGAAAGAAAAGTACTGAGGAGAATACTAGGACCTGTGAGGGAAAACGGAATCTTCAGAATTCGATATAACAACGAGCTCTATCAACTGTATAAAGAAACACCTCTGTCAGACTTCATTAGAATATAAAGATTGCAATGGGCCGGACATGTGATACGAATGGGAGAGGATAGGCTACCAAAACGAGCACTGAACGCCAGAATGCAGGGAAAGAGACCAGTTGGAAAGCCAAGAAAGCGCTGGGAAGACACAGTAAGCAGCGACGCACAAGCAGCTTTTAGGAGTCCGTGTATGGAGAAGAGCAGCCACAGACAGACAAGGGTGGAGGCAAAAAATAAAGGAGGAAAAGGCTCATTTTGGGCTGTAGTGCCGTAGAAGAAGAAGAAGAAGAAGAAGCAAAGACAATGACGTCGACTTTGGTAAGTATCAAGACAATTACTCTACACACACACACACTAGACTAGGTACCTGACTGTACCATGCCAATGATCATTAGTTGTCGAGGCATTAACTCAATAAAAAAAAAATTGTTAATAATTCAAATTCAAGACAGGAAACAAGTAGGTTTTCTGCCTATAGGTCAACAATAACTAAAAAAGTTGTCAGCAACCTGGATTATTAAGTGTCACGAACATGGTTTATTTTTTGCTTATTTCCCTGGAGTATATATTTGATTAACATCTGTGTAATTTCTCTGTCGCTTCCTCACTGGTTTTACATATTGCTATGATAGCAGTATCATCGGTAAATGTTGCAATTGTATTATTTTCTAGGACAATAATATAACACGTATACAAAAGGTAAAGACACTTCTTTGCGGCAGCCCTGCTGTAATTTCTTTCAATTCCGTGTATGTTTCTTTCTGTTTAATTCTGAAATATCTTTCCAAGATGCAGGAGTCAATTATTTGAGAGTATCGTTTTGGTAAATGTAGTCTTAGTTTATAGTTATGGCGTCTTTGCCATACTTTATCATATACCTGAGTCACATCCTAAATTGTCCATCATATTATCCTTCATGATCCATGTTTCACATTTATATAAATAGTAATACACTATATTTCACCATCATCATTATCAATGGCGCTACAACTCTTCGTGAGTCTTTGCCGCGCTTACTATTGCATTCCATGTTTGTCGGTCCTGTGCCAGTAATTCCCATTGTCGCACTCCCATTTTCTCTAGATCTAGAAGTATATTTACATATAACAAATTAAATCATTAGTTGTAAATTTTTGAAATAAGTACTCAGTATACGTCTAAGTTTCATAAATGCTCCTCATAAACCTCCTTGCATAGGGCCGACGTTTACTAACCACAAGTAAATTATCTTATTTCTTTCATTTGACAATAATAATTGTCTGTTAGATTAGTATTGTAATAAGTAAATTAGTCTCTTATTGAATGATAATAAACAATACATGACTTATTCTGAAACTATTTCTTGTGTCATGTTATATTTTATTAGATTTTGGTGTAATAAATCACAACCTATCAAATTCAATATCAAAAATCAAAATTGGAAATGACAAGAAACGTGACTAAATTATTCCTTCCTTCAAGAAATTTTATAAAGAACTGATTCCTATTACCATCCAGTGCAAGGACTGCACGGACAGTTATTTTGTTATTTATATCGAATAGAGAATACTGTTAGTTTGCAGTATGGACCCCAAAAGATATTTTATTCGAAAAGATTAATAAAGATATGGAACTGTGGGAAAATATGCTACAAAAATTGCAAGATTTTTATTATAATTTTTATTTGAAACAGCTTCTAAAGAAACATTAGACATCATTCTATATTTATATAGTTTCATTTTATCGATTTTAATGATCGTGATAATAATCAAATTTTTATAATATATAATTATAATCTTTTTTTATAAGTTTTATTTTCCGTAAACTTTAATCTACGTTAAAATTCAGACAGCCAATTTTTCCATAAAAAAAGTAACAAATAAATTATGTATGTACCTTTGTTACATTATAAATTTATGAATAGATTATATTACTTTGATCTGTTATTCTATTTACTCAAAACACCACTAAAAAGAAATATATGGTTTTATTGTATAGCCCCAAACCTGTCACTTCAGGGGTTGTTCCGGTTGTATAATCGGCTTGAGTAAAAGATGAACGCATTTTTGACCTGGGCTTGAGAGAGATATCTGAACGAAGGTTAGAATATTACTTCATAAACAGATTTTGTTTTCGTAAAGAAAGAAATTTTTTTCAAATAGAGATAGCCCACTGAAATTTACCGTTAGGATTTTCGAGGATGAGCCTTAAAAATAAAGTTTAAAAAAAATAGTTTTAAAGTATTTTAAAATAAAATAAAATATACCTACCTACCCAAGTGTAAACCACTGGACGGTCGAAACGAATTTTTTTCGGATAAACTACTTTATGGTTTCGGTCGCTCAAGCAAATATTGTTATCTTGGTCCACCTGGACTGATCAACAATTCGATGATAACTTTATCTGGGCGACTTTCCATATTTTTAAACAAAATACCAGGCACGTCTGTATGTACATATCGATGAAAATATTAAAACTTTGCATTATTATATATCTGAAGGATTTAAGGTCACGAAAGGACTAAAGCAGGGTTGCTGTATTTCGCCTAGCCTTTTCAAAATTTATCTGGAACAAGCACTCAAGCTATGGAAAAGAAAATGTAATGGCATGGGAACCCCTCTCAATGACGAGACTACACTGTACACCTTATGTTTCGCTGATGACCAAATACTGATTGAACAGTTTCATGACGACTTGAGTTACATGACTCGAAAGTTAATAGAAGAATATAACAAATGGGGTCTGGAAGTCAACATTAAGAAAACTGAAGCCATGTGTATTGGAGGGACAAAACAATCCATTATATTAGACGATGGGGTAGAAATTAGAAACTGTGATGAATACAAGTACTTGGGTATGAAGATAACTCAAGATGGAACACTCGATGCTGCTATAAAAGACAGAAACATACAGTGTAGAAAAGCCATATCCATGATGAACGGCATTCTGTGGGACCAAACAATATCTAAAGCGAACAAACAACTCATATACAACACCATACTTAAAAGTGTAATCACATATGGCAGTGAAGTTTGGCCAATGAAACAAAGAACAGAGAAACTGTTACTAGGAACAGAAATGGACTTCTGGAGAAGAGCAGCAGGCAAATCAAGAAGAGATCGGATACCAAATGAGAGAATACGAGAAATGATGGGAGTCAAGCATACAATAGTTGATGACATAAAAACAAAACAGTTAATATGGTATGGCATGGCCTTGTACAGAGAATGCTAGATGACAGGATTCCAAAACAGATTTTGACGTGGACACCACAAGGGAGAAGGAAAAGAGGAAGACCGAGAAGAAGCTAGAGAGAGGGAATTGAAAAAGAACTAGAGGAAAGAGATATCCCTTCAGACCTATGGTTGAATAGAGAAGAATGGCGGATAGGAGTCGGAAGGCGTCGGAGAACGCTGTAAACCGATAGTAGTAGTATTATTATATATCTCATTCATTGATAATTTGGCAGTTAATAACTACTCCTGGTAAAGTACTTTTATTTTGATTTTTATTGCCTGATTTTATTACAGATAAATATATTTTTACACAGGCTCACCGAAATACGAGGCGACTATACAAAGTTAGCAATCCATTAGTTAAGTTAGACATTTCGGGACCTTCTGGAAACTGGTCATTGGGCTCATTTTGTTTCTATGTATATTTTGATGTCGAAATTTTGTTTTAGTGTAATATAGGCAACTAAAGAGTAATAAATTAATAGAAATATGACATTTATTAAAACAAGAATAAAATTCGAGCTAATATCCTAGTTACAGTATTTAATTAAAAAATAATACTGTTTAACGTATTCTAACAACTATTTTTAAATGCAGACTTTGTTCATCTTCTACTATCGATAAATGACATCTACGATATAGATACGTTTTTGCAAGTTGGAAATCACTTTTAGTAACAAAGTATACATATAATATACATAAAAATCTTTTACAAGTTCCCTATACATATTGAGAAATTCCTTTATAATAAGTCATAATATAATGTATCAACAATTATCGTTTTGTTAAATTTGTCTTCTTTGTCTTTAAGGAAATGTATCTAAATAAACGTATTTTCAGTGAAAATTCCCATTAAATAGAGTAGATGACATGGAAATGTCACAATTGTTTCAGAACCATATTGGGTTTTATTTTCATTAGAGCTTCGGTGCCATTACTGATTCGTAACTTTTAATCCAAGGTGTAAAATATATCTTTACATCTGAGTAGCTACAAAAATTTCCAACTTCCATAGGTAAACGTAACGAGATCTGGCAGAAGAAAATACACAACTGTTGGTAGATTAAGCCCATACCTGTAAGAAATAAAAATCTGTTAAATACATAGAAACAAACAAATACTTCGTTATTTTTCATATTAAAATTTAATTATTACCACGGGAAAAAGAATGTGTTGGAGGATTAAGTCTTCTTCTTCTTCGCGTGCCATACCAGAGTTACCCGACGTTGGCGATCACCATTGCGAAGGCTTCTCGATCTTCTGCAACATGGAATAATTGTCCTGCATTTGGTATCTGAGTCCATTTACGAATGTTTTTAACCAAGAAACTTGTTTTCTTCCTACACCTCTACGGCCCTCTATTTTGCCTTTAAGGACAAGTTGTAAAATTTTATATCGACTTCCCCTTACTATATGTCCCAGATAAGACATTTTTCGATGTTTAACGGTCTTTATCAGTTCTCTATCTTTGTTGATGCTCCTTAGTACTTCTTCATTAGTTTTTCTTACTGTCCAAAGTATCTTCAGCATTCGTCTATGAACCCACATTTCCAATGCTTCAATTTTGTTCATGATCGATACTTTTAGCGTCTTAAGTTTATTTGGATAAATAGTGTAATAGTAAATTATATATGTGTCCTAGCATTGTACGAAAAATCTTGCCCACTTCTAGCATTGTACCCCTTTACTGTACAATCTCCGAAATAGACATAATCGTCGGACTTTGTATAAAGGAATTGCTGTACAATGTTCGAATTTCAATAAGTCGATAAGTAGCAATGCGTCAAAGTTTGGGAGAATATGACAGATATCGATTATTTTTATGATTATTCCCCATTTGATATTAAAGACAAACAAACATCAATTACGATATAAATCCTAAATTAATCTATTAGTTAGTTGCTGGAACTTAAAGTATGGAATAAATTCGATAATTCCTAAATGAAAAGCCTTTTTAAAAAAATCTAAAACACTTCGATTTTTAAGTTTAATATACTACATTCTACAACAAAACGACTATATTTTATAACATTTTTAGACCGATCAAAATGAGCTGATTCGTTTGAAATTATTTATCAGTTGCAAAAAAGTAACTTACTACTAGTTTTTAGTAAAATGTAATTATATTTAGTAACGTTCAATAAATATTAAGTACAATAGTACAATAATTGTATTAATTCGTGAATGTTCTGTATCATTGCTTAGAATTAATTTGAAGTAGAAATTAATTTGAGTGTAAAGCAAATAATTGGAATACTCATAATGGTTGGGCATGGAGACAAATCGCGAATCAGATAGAAGTGTCTAATTTATTTAATGATGAATATCTAGAAATACCCATAACGCAGTCAACAGTAAGTAAGATTGAAAAGAAAGTTCGAGCAACTGGTACGGTTAAAAATGCACGGAAATCATGTCGTCCCTCTGTAAATTATGAGATATATTACATGTTCCACTTGCTTTTGAAAAAGATGCGCACACTTCTGTTCGTAAGGTTAGTCGTGATCTCGATGTTTGCAAAATAACGGTACACAAAGTAATAAAACTTAAAAAATGGCACCCCTTTAGATGCACACTTGTACAGGAATTAAACGAGGATGATCCAGATAAAAAAATACAATTTTGCGAAACAATGATGGATAACTGCCAAGGAAACCCTCTCTTGGTTCAAAATATAATTTTTTCTGATGAGGCTACATTCACATTAAATGGCGAGATAAACCGTCAGAATTGTAGATACTGGACAAAAGAAAACTCTAACTGGATGCGGGAACATCATACACAATACCCGCAAAAGATAAACGTATGGGCTGGTATTGTAACCCTACTTTTTCGAAGGTAATTTAAACGGACCAGCACACCTTCGGTTTTTAAGGGGTATCTCGCACAATTTATTCCACAGTACAATTAATCTGGGAGGTTTTGACGAAAGTTTATGGTTTCAATAGGATGGTGCGCCTCCGCATTAAGCTGTAGATGTTCGAAAGTACCTAAACGAAATTTTTCCGAACAGGTGGATTGGGGCACGTGGACATATTAAATGGCCAGCGAGGTCGCCAGACCTCAATCCTTTGGATTATTTTATGTGGGGTCATCTAAAGAATGTTGTTTATAAAATGAAACCTGCAAATATTAGAGACTTAAAAACAAGAATTCGTAAAGAAATAAACAATATTTCTCAAGAAAGCATAAACAAGGTTCTACAAGAATTTGTACAATGTTTGGGTTACTGTTAAGTACAACAAGGGATACAATTCGAACATTTAAGATAAAGTTATGTATTAATTACTGGATTACTTTCAAGTTATTTATTATAATTTATTTATAATTTATTAATATTATAAATCAATAAAAATTAATTTCCTAAGCGCAAATCTTTCAAATTATATCCGTTAGACCCCAGTATTATACTTTTTTGGAATCAGCTCATTTTTATCGATCTAAAAATGTCCTAAAATACAGGGTGTTACATTTAAAAAAAGAGCCGATGACGTCATCACTGTAATGTTTATCACCTTGTATAATAAAATTTTATTGTAAAATGTAGAACATTAAATTTAACACATTCACGAGTGGTCTTTCCACTGACACTGTTAAAATACGATTCGCGTCTCAGGCGTTGCTAATAGTGCCGTTTTTTAAACGTTGTTTTTTTTTTCATATAAACAAATACTCTTAAAATTCTGTGAAATAAATGTCGACAATTATGTTTTAAATACAAGGTTTTATCGGGAACTAAATATAATAAAAAATAAGACTAATTTTTAAAAGAAAAAATCTATTTTATTTATAAAAGAAATACCTGGACAAAATTAACAAATATGCATTAAAAATAATTTACAAGGTTTTCGTTGAAACAAGGTAAACAGTATGCTGGCTGACCGACAGAGCGCAATAGCTGATTACTTTTCTAACTTTCTTATCCGCTTCTCGACTTGAAAGTGATTTCCGTAACATTGTGTAACATCCTACACAGTTTTTTCTCGGTTTGCGTCCTTTACCCTCCGGTTTTACAAATGTATGGATTTTTCGTTTTGGTGTTTTATTTATTGTATTTCTAGTATCCGTAGTAACTAATGACCGAGCTAATTGCCTTCTAAATTGCATCATAGACAACTTTTTTCTTGTGGCTAACTGAAAACGACCCATGCATTTACAACAGACGTTCCAAAAAGCAACTCGAAACAAAGCTTTCGATACCATTTTAGTAATTTCCTGCGTAAAATAGGCGGATATTCGATCACTTATATCCACACCTTTTTTAGCTTTATTGTAATCAATAATACATTTTGTTTTTTTTTATTTCATTACCTTTTCTATCTTTTTTATCAGTTTCTACAAGGATCACTTCATGTGTGACATCAGATGTGATCATCAAAACTGGTCTCTTAACTATACACTTTATTATTCTTAAATTCCCACTTTCTTCTACATATACCTCAGATTTCTTCATCTTTCTTTCAAAAGATTTTAGATCGAAGTGTTCCGCAATGTTTCGCAATGTTCCGCAACACCCTGTTTAATTTATTAAAAAGAAACGCTACATCTTATTAATATTTTAAGACACACCCATCCTTTCTAAATATTTTTGTAAAAAAATTATCATGAGATCCCTATTATTAAAAATTGTACACAATTTTAAATATAACAAATTTTTATTAACATTTAAAGCAAAGAAAACAGTACTTACATAAACTTTATTGACATTTAAAACAAATACAGCCTAAGAAAACATAAACCTAAATAATCTGTAACAATTCCCTCTCCCAATTTCCACCTCTAAATCTAATTACTTCTTCACAACTACGAGGCATACTTAAAATCAAGCGTCGTATTTGGTCTTAATCAATTGCATTCAAAACTTCTCTTACAATAACTTCTATGTCGTCAAGAGAGACAGGTAGTGGTTGTCGACTCCTGATTTGACGATCAATATTATCCCACCAATTCTCTATGGGATTGAGATCAGGGCTGCAGGGTGGCCAGTTCATAGTTTGTATTCCAACTTCGTCCAAATATTCACGGACCGCACGTGCAACATGTGGTCGAGCGTTATCATGCATTAAAAGAAATATAAGAAGCAAATAAAACTGCATGGTTAGACAAAATGTCTGTAATATACCTTTCACTTGTTAAGTAACCTCTTCGTAAAACAACAAGTTCCGTTTGCGCTGTAAGAGATATTCCTCCCCAAACCATTACAGATCCTCCATTGAATAAAGTAATAGGTCGTATATTGCGCTGTAATTAGCATTCTTTTGGCCGTCGAATATCTCTCACATGTCTATCTGAGCTATATAATCTTTTTCGCAATATTATTAAGACGTTTAATTTTAATAAATTCCACAGGGTATTGCAAAATAAGACGAAAAATCAAATTTATTTTTACACCCCGTATGTAGGTCAAACGTTGACATTTCCCAGAAAACATTAATACAGTAATTACCATGGATGTATAAACACAGATGGACTCAGTTATTTACATAAAATTGTGAAGTCAAAATTATTTGAATAGGTCACATTCTGAGCACCTTCAAGTGTTGTCACGTTTTGTTTTAAAATTTCTTATTCGCGAGTCGCTGAAAATATTACTCCGTATTTTATACTCTACAGGTACTATCAAACTAAAATAATAATTTATTGGTTATATTAATATATTTAATTGTAATCAAAATATCATGTGTGCACATAGTGTGCATTATCATTTAATAATAGCGTATAATAGATATCAATCAATTATTTTATATGTAGAAGCACTGAAAACTATTTATAAATGGCAACGGTTGTTTACATTTCTCTGTCTTATGGATCTACGTCAAACTTCAAATGCTGTTCCATGTTTGTTTACTTTTAACAGTAAATGAGGAAAAAGTTATTTTTCGATATTTTGGCTGTATTTTGAGTAATATTTGTGAAAAGTGAAATAAAATAAACGAAACATTTACATCCCGATCTCTTATTTCATTTGTAAGTACATACAATTTACATTATTTAAGATGAGGAAATGAGGAAGCGTATTTGTTTACATTTTAATAGGCGTACCATTGGGTTTATTCATGTTCATTAATGTATTGAATAATATATGAGTTCATGAAATTAGTAGACATTTATCAATTGTAAGTAGACATCATCTGATTAAAAAAGATCTGTTTAGTACCTTTTTAATTTAATATTTCTCATGGATACAAATAAATTAGTGAAATGAATAAAACTCATTTATTTTTCTATGTAGGTTTCCAAATAATATTGACGATCAAACTATTTGGGGAGCAAATTAAGGAGAAAACAAAGATTTTTTATTGTAGCATTATTTTGATACTATTAAAAAATTAACTTGAATTCAACTATATTTAATTGTAATAATTTTAAAGCAAATAAAATTGTATTTTAATTTTTCTATAAAGACGTGATTTGTTAATAGTTAAACTCTCGTTTTTTTGTAATTCTTTGAACGTGTTTTTATACATTATTACTACTTCCAATTTTTAAAATCTAAATAATTACCTGCGAGTAAAAATTCAAGCACGCTTATGCTCACTGCGGAAGCATCACATTCTATCGAAGCTCAAAACATTGTGTGTTAAAGGTATTACGTGTGTGTGTTAAAGGTAATTACCTTGGTAATTACTTACAAATAAATCTGCAGTGCGAAAAAAAAATCATCGAAATCCAATTAAGGATTCAACAGAAAAATAACTTAAAAGTTAAGGTACAGTTGAGGTAGTGCGTTAATTTTGGAGAATAGAAAATCACGTAATACTTTAAACATACTTTCCTTTTTTGATATTAAAGATATTGAGATGATTTTTTTACGAAAATATGGAGAAAGAATGAGGCAATCTCGAAATATTAATAACATGTAGCGTTTGTTTCTAGTACAGTCTACAGGGTGTTGCAAAATTAGATGAAAAAACACAACTTTATTTTTAAACCTCGTATATAGGTAAAACGTTGACATTTCTCAAAAAAACATTATTATAGCAATTAATTAGGAATATATCTATAACGTGAAAAATAAATCATCAAAATCCAATTGAGTGTTCAAAAGAAATATAGTTTCAAAATCATGGTCTATTTTATGTGGTGCGTTAATTTTGGAGAGTAGTGTATATATATATATACAAAATAAAGTTTATATATATATATATATATATATATATATATATATATATATATATATATATATATACAGAGTGGCCCAAAAGTCTGGAAACGGCCAATTATCTCGTAAATTGCTATTTATATATAATTTCTCGACAATAATTGTACAAAATTTAAGGTACACCTACTTTGGAATACAAAGATTCTGTATCAAAGAGCACCCTGTATATGCTGTCATAATTGATATCTCCTATTCCATACGAGTTGAACCATATGTATCACTTATGATTTTATGTAGTCTGGAAGGTCTTAAATACATAAATCAGAAGTCTGGCAACGTCTAATTATCTCAATAAATTTTTTTATACCATTTTCAACTACATTAAAACGCAACAATTGATAGATTACAACATTTTGTATTATATGTGTTCTATTCTGTTGTATTTGTTTAAATTAAATAATATTTTTGATAAAAACGCTGATCTAAAAATATTACTTACCCTCAGAGTGAAATCCCATGATCCCGTTGAAAGAGCTGTTCCATCTGGAGAAACTTGCAAACAAGATACTCTGTTTTCGTGCCCATAAAGTAAGCACACTCTTGCACATTTTAACGTATCCCAAACATTAACAGTATAATCGTTATAGCCAGCAAATAGTAAACGTCCTAAAATATATTAATGAAAATTAAAACATTTAACATCTAACATAAATTATAATTTTTTTATTACAACTGCTAGAGATGTAAAGTGCTTGGAGAAAATAATCCTTCTTAGGAAGTAGATTACCAATACATTTATATACCCACGAGCCTAATTTATTAGTTACCCGGCTTATTAATCTAATTAAAAATTCTACGGAACCGAATATAGATGATGAATGGGAGAATTTCAAAACATGTATTGAAAATATTGTTCTGAAGCTATTTTCTTGTGGCATTTTAAATTAATTACTATTAATTACTATTTAACTGGGAATAAGCCACAATTAACAGAAAGATATAAACACAAATATAACGCAAGATAAAAATACGTTTATTGACGTTTCAATTTCCATTTCGGAAATCATTCTCAAAATTGAAACGTCAATAACCGTATTTTTATCTTTAATTGTGGCTTCTTCCCAGTTAAATAGTAATTAATGTATTGAAAAAGCAGCATGAGACCCTAAACAAGAAAAAGAAAGTATGAAGCAGGAAAAGGATTATTACAATGGAAGTAACAAGTGAAAAGTACGGCAACTAAAAGAAATCCACATGTCACAAGTAATTTCAAAATCATACAGGGAAAAAAAATCAGCAATTATGGGAAAAGTTTATTTATTAGCCAGGTTAAAAATTATTTACATGGAAGTCAAACGTTTGCTTAGAAAATGATAAAGCAAAATAAGTAGAATAAAAAAAAGAGCGTGGCACTTGGAGGTGTCGACAGAAGTAAACACTTCTTATAGTTTCTTATTACTAGGTCTAAGTTTTATTATGATCTTGTATTTATGCCTAATTATTTCATTTTGATTTATATTCTAAACATAATCATGAATAATGTAAGGGTATAATTAATTTTATTTAAGTTTATTTAATTTTGTCAAATTTTTTATTTAGTTTTTTTATTTATTTTTTTTATTTTATTTATTTTAATTCTTGGTAATTTTATATAATTCTTTAATTTTTTTTATTTCATAATTTTATAATTTTTTACAGTTTTTAATAGTATTTACAATACAAGAAATTCAAATGGAAAACTAAAAAACAACTAGATATGTTCATCCTAACATTTGGACAGAATGAAGATATAAATAGAATTTACGGCATAACAGACATACTTAGTACGAGAGTTGAAATCGAGCCATTAAGGAGTTCCAGATTAGTTCCACAATGTAAAAGATGCCAGGCTTACGAACACACGTGGAAATAGTGTAAAAAGGAGCCAAGATGTGTAAAATGTATTTGTAAACACCTTACTAAAGTATGCCAAAAACCAGCAGAAGATAAACCAAAATGTGTTCATTGTGGAGAAAACCATTCTGCAAACTACCGCGGATGTTATGTAGCATAAAAAATACAGACAATAAGAAATGAGAGAACAAACAAATACAATGTTATAAAAGCGTCCCATAGAGTTATCGAAAGCAAAAAACTAAAAACGGCATTTGTCAGTGAAAATAGAAGTTACAGCGATCTAACAAAGAATGCAAGGAGACATGCATCATCGCAACAAGAAAAAGAAACTGATATTACATTAAAAATGATATGGGAAAAGCTTACCAAGATTGATGACAAAATAACTCAAATCGATATCAGAGTTACCCGACTAGAGCATAGCGCTAAAGGAGCTATTCCGAAAATTAGAAATGGCTAAAGACCTCCAAATAACGGCGAGGAACGCAAATGGACTGTTCCAACATCAGATCGAGTTGCAAGCAGTACTAGATATTGAGAAAATTGATCTGTCTCGTTTCTGAAACACACTTCACTAAACAGTCATATGTAAAATTTAGGGAGTATAGAGTATATTCTACTGTACACCCAGATAATGCAGCTAAAGGAGGAAGCGCTATTATAATTAAAGATAACATCATGCATCATGAGGAATTAAAATATGCAACAGTCTGCGTGAAGATCAAAACACATACCTTAAATATAAGTTCAATATATTGTCCTCCTAGACACTCCATTAAAAGAGAGCAATATAAAGAGTTTATAAACACTTTAGGAAAAAGATACATCATCGGTGGCGACTTTAATGCAAAAAATACCCACTGGAGCTCTAGGCTAACTACAACTAAAGGACAAGAACTATTGTCAGCTGTTAAGGAACAAAAGGGTGAAGTAATCTCTACTGGTAGACCAACATACTGGCCTACCCATAGGAACAAAATTCCAGACCTGATAGATTTCTTTATTTACAAAAATATCTCAGCTAACTCTCTGGATATCAATGACGGCTGGGACATAAACGACAGCTTGGGAAAATACTCCCACAATAACTTCTAGAATAAAAGGGAACAACTATCCAAAAGAAATTAGAAAACTCATAGTAGAAAAAAGGAAGTTAAGAAAAAAATGGCAACAATACAGAGCTCCACAAGACAAAACTAGTCTAAATAATGCTACACAAAAATTAAAAAGGGAGATACAGAATATAAAAAATTCAACAGTTAATTATTTTTTAAGTAATTTAACAGCTGACCAGACCACAGATTATTCTTTAGGAAGGCAACAAAAATAATGAAGAGACCAATTATTCATTCTGCTCCTATCAAGTTGGAAAGCGGCAACTGGGCTAGAAGTAATAAACAGAAAGCAGAAAGATTTGCAGATCATTTAGAAAGCACGTTCAAACCCAACGACAATGATGGTGAAGAACTGAGATGGGAAGAACCATTCCAAACTGAAGAAAGAATAACGTTAACATCACTTAGAGAAGTATCAACAAAGATAAAAGAGAATATAAATCCTAAGAAAGCTCCAGGATATGATCTCATAACAGGAGAATTATTAAAAAATCTACTAAGAAAAGCCATAGTTAAGCTGGCACACCTAATAAATGCTGCTTTTAGATTGAGATATGTTCCCAAACTCTGGAAAGTAACCGAAGTGATTATGATCGCCAAACCAGGTAAATCTCCTAATGAAGTGACATCCAATCGACCAATATCACTCCTTCCATCCAAGAAATTGTATTGGCTGATTTAAAAAAATTCAACATTATCAATTCATAATAAATTATCCATCTACAAGCAAGTACTGAGGCCTGTATGGGTATAAGTGCCAACTCTAGGGCTGTACCAAAGCTAGTAATCTACATATTATACAGATATTTCAAAACAAAGTAGTAAGAAACATTGTTGATGCTCCTTGGTATATCCGCAACAGCAACCTTCACCAGGACCTCGGTATGGAAACGGTGACCGAAATAATCAAGAGAACAGTAGCAAGTCACGAACAGAGGTTGCATAGTCATGTGAATGACGAGGCAATCCAGCTTTTTGACAACAGTGAACTAAAGAGAAGACTTATGAGGACAAAACCATTTGAGTTAGTGTAAATGTGTAACAGTTTAGAGTAAAAAGGAGAGTATAGTGCTGTGAACTTATTGCATGTTAGTTTAGTTGTAGTGCATCAGTTGATAGATAAAATAAGAGTAAACCATAGGGTAAGCCCTTAGATTTAAGTATTTGCTGTTATTAATTTAGGTCAGAAAATAACTGATAATTGGTCATTTGTGACCAGATAGCAATATACAAACACGGCACAGGTGTCAATAAAAAAACGACAACTCCTCCAACGCCTACCTTACAGATTCAATATAACACCACACAAGTTAAATCTATTAATATCCCACGAAAAGACCAATTCAATGGTTACAGCCAAGAGACCTATCAGATGTAAACTAATGATTGACGAACACATAATAGAACAAGTCAACAAGGCAGTCATAATATCGGGATACTTAAGAGATATTATATGGAGTAATAACTATATGAGCGTAGAGAGCAAAAAACCGGATATATAACGAATGTGTACGATCAGTACAAACAGGCGCAGGGGAATCAAGAGCTGGAATGGCGCTTGCAAAAAGATTGATGAAAACTACAGAAATGAAAGTATTAAGAACCATAACAGAACTTTCTTTCAGATACAGAATAAGGAATAAGAATACATTAAGAAAAACTGGTTTCCAAGATATGGTGAGATGGATACCACATGAAGAAGAGATCATGTAGACAGGATGAACCTAGGAAGAATCTCGAAAGGAGCAAAAATACCTAAACCCAATACAAGAAGACCACTAGGAAGACTCCCGAAGAGGTGGTATGGCAGCTGGACATCAACATCACAAGAGCTGGGATGATAGAATAAACAGACACGTCCTAAAAGAATAAGAAGAAAGCAATATGAGGAGACCAAATAAACATAAAACTAGAGAAAATTAGAAAAGAAAATTAGAGAAAAATATAACAAAAGTCGTTAGAGTAAAAGACCAACACGGTTTTCGCAATGGCGGGTCCACTAACTACAATTTTTTTATTATAAAACAAATGATCGAAAAACAAAGTGAACGTAACTTAGTAACTCATTAATCAGTCTTGAAAAAAACCTTCCATCCGTTTGATAGACACAAATAACTCCCAATCGAAATTAAAAGAAATTAAACGATCTATAAAAACGTGGAGGAAGCAAACCACAAGTAAAGCCATCCAGGTTAGAATTGATCGATTATGTTTACGTCATACACAAGTAACACACACATACTTATTTGACAACAAAGAATCAACCGGTATGTGATATTTTATCCAAAATTTATCCAAAGAAAATCCAACAATAATCTTTCCGATGAGCTAAAGACATTATTAGACGAAGACAGTTACCTAAACAATATTATAAATTTCCTTAAAGAAACTCGCCTTTTTCATCTATTGTAAATTAATTAAGAGTACCTTAATGTACTGTACCTTAATGTAACATCCACTCATAACGATTAGTATATATAACTTATAACTTCCACAATTAAAACAATTACTAGGACAAAAATCCTTTGACATTTTGCATATTGACATATTCCACTGCAGTAAAACTTCGTTTTTACACACAGCGTCGAACTATTGGTTGACATCAGGAAAGATGTTTCCCGAGACTGAGGGTTTCCTACTTGCCATTCAGGACCA